GGAGGGAGGGGAAAAATGAGGACCTAATGCCGGGGGTTTAAGTGGAGAGGAAATGTTTTGAGAATGATGACGGCAATGAAAGTACAAATGCGCTTTACACAATTGATGTGTGTATGGACTGTGATAAGAGTTGTATGAGCCCCTAATAAAATGATTATAAATGAAAAAAAGAAAAAAAGGTCATACAAACTCAACAGACTATTTAAACCTTATGCATAAAATGAAAAGGGGAAATGTGGGAAACTGAGGAATGGGTCCAACAATTACTAGAAGAGTTAGGAGACACAATACACACATGGGACAACATCTTTGGTTCTTGGAAATCTTGGGTCCCCAAGGCTTCTGCTATTGCTCCGACCTCTTGGTTTAATTAAATGTTTTGCAGAACAGGCAGGGCGTCCCTCACCAGATCAAAATTCATTTGATGCTGAATTATCCCGGAGATGTCAATCCACGCAGGTCTTAGGAATTACCAGCCCAGGCCCTTCTGCTAGCAATCATCATGAAGACAAACTGCAGACAGTTAATAAAACATGAAATACAAATGGTTCAAAAACACATGAAAAAAAATGCTCAAGACCAGTAGCCATCAGGAAGACGCAAATTAACACCACAGTGATATACCACTTTACACCCACAAAGCCAGCCCAAATAAAAACACTGCAGATAAAAGCTGACAGGGGAAGAGGAATGAGGGAAAGGGCCACTGAACTGGCCACCCACACAATCATAAACTGTAGATCTGTCAGAGCAGAGCACAAACTGTCCCGCTGTTGCCTGGAGACCATGGCAATATCAATCTCACCTCCAGTAAATCACCTTCCCATCTCCGCCACAAACCAAGCACAGCTGGTACCGACCTCTCCTCTCCTCTCCTCTCCTATTCAACTCTCACCACCTGGGATAGCTCCAAAGTTTTAAAAAAAAACTCACTCTCATCAAGGCAACTTGGTCTCAAAGCTGATCTTTTTCGGGCAGAGTAGAATCACTCCTGCGAGTTTCCAAGGCTGGGAATAGAAAGCCTCCTCTTTCTTCGAGAGGCAGCTGGTGGTTTACAATTGCTGACTTGAGGGTAGCAGCCCAACCCTTCATCCGCCAGACCAGCAGGCTGCAGCCTCAGCTCAAAGCAAAGACAGCTGGCCAGGAAATGCAGCACAACCAACAAAATCATACACAAGCCAAAACCCACACCACCACCCTGGGTCATATTGGCCTACCTGTGCCAACTTGGAACATGTGTCCATTTGCTCCTGGCTGAACTCTACTCATAGCCACTGCTCAAATAACCTCAGGTACTCTGAAGTCCAGGATGGTCTGTCCCAGATTAATCCAATTCAAACTTGCAAGTCACTCTAACTCGCTCCAACCCAAATATGGGAGGTCCATGCCGTGCAGAGAACTCAAGGATTCACAGCTCCAAATCTACCACATCAGCCAGGCCCTCATTTCCAAAACTCGACACTTCACTGACCTCACAGAGGACATCTAGGGCCATCCCTGACCAACCAACCCCACCTTGGAAAGCAGGCTAGACTCAACCTCCTGAGCGCAACCCTCCTTACAGGGCTGGCAACCGTGAGTCCACTGTCGCAGGATTTCCCCCCTAGATTGGGTTCTTTCCCTTGTGCAGCTAAGAATAACAAGGCAGGGAGCCAATCTTACAGTGCAAGCAAAAAGCAGTGGTTCTCAAGATTCCTAAGGCCTCGACCCTTTCATACAGTTCCTCATGTTGTGGTGACCCCCAATCATAACATTACTTTTGTTGCTACTTCATAACTTATTTTGCTATTATGAATCATAATGTAAATATCTGACATGCAGGATGTATTTTCATTGTTACAAATTGAATATAATTAAAGCAGTGATTAATCACAAACAATATGTAATTATATTATGAAATACTTATTTCTAATTACAAATAAATGAAATTTTGTCTTGAAGCATGGTGTAGCATGGGTCAGTCTTCACGCTGGGTACTCGTGGGCTTATCTGCATGTGGGCGGACCCATCTGGAGACGGATAGAGCAGTGGTGTCTCGGTTCCTAAGACCATCAGAAAACATTTCCAATGGTCTCAGGTGACCCCTATGAAAGGGTCGTTTGACCCCCAGGTTGAGAACTGCTGTCCTAGAGCAAGGCTGAATGTGGTCTCTGAACAGATGAAAAAGAGTTTTTTAGGCTTTAGGATATTATTTTTCATGAACAGAGGTTTTGTGTTCAAGGAATTTACTACGTGGGTCCATGTAGGAAACTGAGGACCTGGGAGAAATTGTACGGGGCCTGTTCTCCACAGTCCGGACTACAGGGCTTGACAAAGCAGCAGCAGTCTCCAGGAACAACTCTAGTCTGGAGATAATGAATAAAATGCAAATACGCATATTCTGGGAAGGACATTTACTCCACAATCATCCCCCACTAAAATGCTAATGTGAAGATCTCTCCTACAGTCACCTGGCTCACTTATGCAGTTCAGGGCTGCTTATCTTCAAAAACGCGTTTCTCTGGTCCCTCCTTCTAAGGGAATGATATACACCTTTGTCTCTGACACACCTGGTACTTCTAAAGTGTTCTAGAGAATTCAGGATATCCAAGATCAACATAGGGACCATTCTACTGTATATGTATTAACAAGAGGCTTGCAGGTCTCATTATTATAAAAACCCATTTTTGAATAAAGTCTAGACTCTTTTCCCAATTTTGGAGATTAGTTCCCTGTACTTCGCTTTTCTATATCCTTTTTGCTATAATTGTGCAAGTCCCTCCGCAGGACCCGTTCATCCGTGGGGCTGACCTCCAAGTATTGAGACCCGCAGGCGAGGACTGCTGACCACAGGGAACCAGCTGACAAAGAGCCACAGATGATCCTGGCTCACACATAGGCCCAGGCAGAGCAGCACTTCTTAAGGCTGGCCAGTTTGCTATGTTCCAGTCCAATGCCTTTTCAGTCCATGAAACACACGTAACATCTCTCTGGTATTCTCTTTGAACCAAGATCCATCTGACACCAGCAATGATATTCCTTGTTCTACATCCTGTTTTGAAGCCAGCCTCAACTTCTGGCGGCTCCTGTTAGCTTTGTTCAGTGATTTTAAGCAATACTGTACTTGTGTGCAGTATCAATGATATCATTCTCTAGTTTTGTTAGGTTTCTGGGGTGATAACCTCAGTTCATGCTTAACGATACTGAAAGAACTCACGCGGCTGAAGCACTTTGGTAAATCCAAGTTCACCTTTATGAGGCAAAGGGATGTTTCATGTATTCGTCTCAAAAAGTGCACGCTGCCTCTGGAAAGCATGCAGGGCTCCTTGGCGGGGCAGTGGGAAAGTTCACGACTGAAAACGGCTGTTTCAGAGGAGTGCAAAAGAACACTTGGAAGGAATATGGGAAGTGAAAACGGGAGTAGGGACAGAGAGACCAGAGAGAGGCCTGAGAATACGGCCCAAGAGGGCCCACAGGCACAGGCACAGGCACAGGCACTCTTGCGGGAGGGAGATGCCCTTCCTCCACTTGCAGCATGCACCTGAACAAGAGACGAGCAAAGACGTAAAGGGGCTGCGGTGCTCCTGTGGCCGCCTTTTATCCCCTCTGGCTGGGAGGCACGGTTGAAGGTATTAACTCACCTTACTGGTTCAATTTACATGCACCTGTGTGATATCACAGGGCTGGTTCCTAGGTGGGTATGCCCAGGTGGACCTCCCAACTGGGTCTAGGTGGCTTGGTCTGAGCATGCTCAGTTCTGTATTTTCCCATAGGGGTCTAATAATTAGTGTCTCCCATTCTCCCACCTTCATAATGCCTCTCACCCAAATACAGCTGTTATCTCATGAAGTGTGCCTCTTTCCAAACTTCTGACCTATTCTTGCACACCAAGCTTCTATTGTGTTCTCTGGAGTATAGAAGTGATTTAGGGTTAAATCACTGGCTTCACCCACCTATTTTAGTGTTCCTAGTGTCTGATGAAGTGACTTCTATCTAAAGGCTCAGCCACACTCCTTAAAGATGGGGCTTCTCCTGAATGAGCTAGCTGATGTCTAATGAGGCTTTGTTAATAGCTCAGTCTCCCCCACACTGATTACACGGATGTGGCTTCTACTCTGGAGTGTGTCCACTGGTGCTCATGGAGCTGTGCTTTCTGGTGACTCGCCCACCTTCCTTGCACACATACAGTTGCTCCCAAGTGTGTTCTCTGGTGTACAAGGAGGTGTGACTTCTGGTTTAAGCCTTGTCTACATTCCTTGCAACTATGTGGCTTCTCCCTGAATGTGTTCTCTGGTGCCCAAGGAGGTGTGATCTCTGGGTAAACCCTCGCCCACACTCTATACAAATGTGTGGCCTCTCCCCTGAGTGTATCCTCTGGTGCACAAGAAGGTTTGATTTTCCTTTAAAGCCTCGCCCACACTCTGTGCACACATAAGGCCTCTCCCCTGAGTGTATCCTCCTGTGCACAAGGAGGTGCGACTTCTGCTTGAAACCTTGTGCACACTGCTCACACACAAAAGGCTTCTCCCCAGAGTGTGTCCTTTGATGCACCAGTAAGTGTGGCTTCTGCTTAAAGCCTCGTCCACACTCCTGACACACAAAAGGCCTCTCCCCTGAATGTATCCTCTGGTGCACAAGCAGCACTGACTTGTGACTAAAGCCTTGTCCACAATCCTTGCAAATATGTGGCTTCTCCCCTGAGTGTGTTCTCCGATGCCGAAGGAGGTGTGACCTCTGGATAAAGGCTTGTCCACACTCAGTGCACACGTATGGTTTCTCCCCTGAGTGTATCCTCTGGTGCACAAGGAGGCTTGATTTCCCTTTAAAGCCTCGCCCACACTCTGTGCACACGTAAGGCCTCTCCCCCGAGTGTATCCTCTGATGCACAAGCAGGACTGACTTGTGACTAAACCCCCGCCCACATTCCTTGCACACATGTGGCTTCTCCCCTGAGTGTGTTCTCTGGTGGACAAGGAGGTTTGGTTTACCTTTAAAACTACGCCCACACTCTGTGCAGACATAAGGCTTCTCCCCTGTGTGTGTTCTCTGGTGCACAAGGAGGTTTGCTTTACATTTAAAGCCTCGTCCACACTCTGTGCACACATAAGGCTTCTCCCCTGAGTGAATCCTCCAGTGCACAAGCAGGCTTGGCTTGTGACTAAACCCCCGCCCACACTCTGTGCACACATGTGGCTTCTCCCCTGAGTGTATCCTCTGGTGCACAAGCAGTACTGACTTTTTACTAAATCCCCGTCCACACTCCTGGCACACATGTGGCTTCTCCCCTGAGTGTGTTCTCCGGTGCACAAGGAAGTTTGGTTTACCTTTAAAGTCTCGCCCACACTCTGTGCACACAAAAGGCTTCTCCCCTGAGTGTATCCTCTGGTGCACGAGGAGGCTTGGCTTGTGACTGAAGTCTCGCCCACAATCCTTGCACACATGTGGCTTCTTCCCTGAGTGTGTTCTCTGGTGCACAAGGAGGTTTGATCTCTGGTTAAAGCCTCGCCCACACTCCACACACAAAAAAGGCTTCTCCCCTGAGTGTATCCTCTGGTGTTGGAGGAAACGTGACTTATAGTTAAAGGCTCTTCCACACTCAATACAAACATAGGGCTTCTCCAGGAAGAGGGAGTTGAGTTCTGATTTCAGGCTACGGTCTCGTCCATCCTCTCTAGAGTGAACTGCTCTCAGAGTTGAGGTACACAACAATTCCTTCAACCCATCATCTGTTTCCACACAACTTTCCCTTGGGGCTGAGATGGACTGGAATCTCACTTTGTTGCTTGCTGACTGTCTTCGGCAAGGCCTGCGGAAACCCCTTGAAGTCTTTCTCTCCCCTGTCCTCTCCAACAACTGTGTGGAGACGTCGTCTCTGCAATCCTGACCTTGTGTGTTCGCACTCCTGCAGCTCTGAGGAGACTCCCGCTGCTCCGGCTGCTTCTGAGGCCCTGGGCTGGACCCCCCTGGATGGAGGTGATGTTCTGCACAGAAGCCTGGGAAGAGCTGAAGCTCACGCTGGCTGAGGAACTGCTGACAGGAGAGAGCCAGAAGGCAGTAGGCACAGGGGTCGCTTTCTGGCTTTGGGTCTGCTGAAGAGAGAGAGGTTTCTCTGTTAGAGTAGCTGTGTTAGCCTGGGTTGACTAGAGACACAAATCGAGATACACTCATGTGTATAAAGGAGAACTTCATATCAAAGACTGTCTATTAAGAAAGCATCCCAGCCTAGTCCAGATCAAGTCCATACATCCAATATTAGCCCATATGTCCGATACCAATCTATAAATTCCTCTCCAGACTCACGCAACACATGCAATGACACCAAATGCAGCAGGATTACAGGCCAGTGAGTGGAAAGTCTTGTGCATCCAGTGGCAGCGGAAACATGAATGCTGGCATGGAAGTTGCTTCTCCAGCTCCAGGGCTCTAGCATAGCTCCCATGTGTCTTGTCATCAGTAATACCAAGCAGAGTCCATGTGACCCACCTTCAGTGAGCTATTTATCTCCTTAGTGCCTCCAAACGAGGTCATCAAGCAGCGACCTGATTGACAGGCCACTCCACCCCCTCACTCTTAATAGTCTCAAGTTAGCACCAGATCATGTAAGTACCAGTAGCTACAGTGGGTTGTCTAGGCTGTCCTGCCTTCTTTTATGACAGACAGAATCTCAGTGCTGGAGTCCCTGCGGGCACACAGTTACAATTCTACTAGCATCGAAACGTTGGTGGAGCAGTTCTATTCTTCACACACGGAGTCCCACAAGTAAGAATCAACTTGACAATATACACAACATGACTTGTCTCTCACCATAGTTCTTTTATATGATGTTTCTACTGCAATCTAAAAGTGTCACAACGGCACACTGGTTAAAGCACTAACCAAAACGGCTCCATCCTGTTAGCAGTATGTTGCAGAAAGATGTAGCATTCCCTTTGTGTAGATTGATATCCTTGGAAACCTTAGAGGGCAGTTCTACTCTGTCCTAAGAGCCCCAAGGAGTCAGAATCCATGGCAGTGGTTTGGGGATGGTAATCCAGACCATCCACATGGAGATGGTCTAATGATTCTGTCAGCTTTGCTTTGAAAACTGTTATATTGTGATTGGTGGCTCAAAGCCACCAGGTACTTCGAGTACGATGTGGCTGTTTGCTTCCATCATGATTTACAACCTCAGAAACCATACACAGGGTCTCTGAGTCAGCATCAACTCCAAGGAAGTACATCTGGTTTTTTTTTTTGCTTGATGTGGCAAAATCCAACTGAATCTTTTTGATCACGCACCTCACCTATTTGCTAAATATCTCGATTTGTTTCCAGTAGTTTACTTGGTGAGTTTGTGGGATTTTCTAATTCTAAGAGAATGTTATCTGCAAATACAGCTAATTTCAAGAAGGCTTGGTGGGGTTGTTGGGTAATAAGTGTTGGGACTGCTCACAGAAAGGCAAGTGACTGAAAAACCATGAGTCACTTCTCAGGAGCAAGAAGTTACCTGCTCTCATGAAGATTCACAGCCTCAGAAACCCCAAATAGGGTCATTGTAAGTTAGAATGGACTCTTAATAGTGTTTTGGAGTTAATGTGTTTTGGTACCAATTTAGATGCTGTGATAGCTAGGTTTTTGTGCCAACCTGGCCAACAGGAACATGTGGGATTAATGAGGTCACACTTTGATTGGAGGGCAAAGAGATAAATGGCTTGGCAAGCTTCACCTCTTTCTCTCTCTCTCTCTTGCTCTCTGGTGATCAGACCAGCGTGCGGCTGCTTTAGCAAGTTTTCTGCCTCAACTTGTGAGCTACACTACCTGTGGGATAGCCAATCCGTGGATCATGTTGCTAGAGCTTGAGGATCCTTTGAAACTGATTCACCATGCTGCTGGTGTGTACATCCTTGGGTTTGGGGGCCATTGTATCCTGTCATCTTGCAGTGTTTGAGTTTAATATGCCGTCTTAGCCTGCTTTGCGAAGCTCCTGAGCTGCTGACTGTTGGAGACCTGCTCTGATGTTTGCTGCGTGTGCCTGACTGACTGCATTGCTCTAGGGAAGACTCAGCTGTCTGCTCCCTTGACCTTGGTTCCAGCAGCATTCCTGAATTGAAGGACTTCCAGTATATTAAATGTTCCATGAAAGTGAGTTGAACTGAGCCCTCTGTACTGCTGTGCGGACTAATTAGATGTTAAATTCCTTTGTGCTGTACATATCTATCCATATACTTGTAAATAAAATCATAAGTGTCCTGGTTTTGTTTCTCTAGAGAACCCTGTATAACACAGATGGCAGCTATTTTAGTTTCTTGCTGGATAGCCCTGTTTACGACTGCTACTAGAAGACATCGTTCTCTAAATCACAAGGAGAAAGCTTTCAGTTTCTCTCTGGGGAGAGCAACCTCAGAGGTTTGTCTTTTTATAGATGCCCTTAATTACGTTGAGGAATACCCCATCTTTCCTATGTTGTTTACACATTTTAAAGGACAAAACAATCTGCAAAGAAACTAAATATATTCAGCTTTATAGGTTACAATGTCAAGGGCTTGTTAGATTTAGGGTTGGGGTGATTGTCTTGGGTTTAGGGTTAAGTTAGGGTAATGGTAGGGGTACGGATTAAGTCATAATACCAGTATTAAGGATTAATAGTTAAGGGTTAGAGTTACAGTTAGGATTAGGGATTATGTTAGGGTTAAAAAAAATAAGATTACTGTGTATCTTTACTCTGCCTTCACAGAATCAAAGTAACATAAAGCAATACATAAGTGGGTGGATTTGTCCTAAAACAATACATTAAAACAGTTGGCAGGTCCGATTCGACCTTTGGGCTGAATTTTGCAATTCCGGTTTTAGAAGGAAGACATAGTAAAAGCTATCTATTTAAAGGTCATTGCTTGAATTCCATGCTCCCACCCCAGCCCCTTCAATGCCATGTTTGAATTTGCTCTTTTTTGTTTTCTGTCATATGGTTTTCCCATCTTCACTTATTTAATTTGAGTATCTCAAACACTATGATTCCCAAAATGAAGAGCTATACAAAAGGTAAACTCCAATTTTATTTAGTTCGTAACTTGGACACTTCTTATTTCCTCTTTTTGTTGCTGTTGCTGTGATAGGCCTAACATTATATTGAACAGACATGGTGAAACACTGGCTGGTCTTCCTTAAGTCTATTGCTGGGACAAAAAAAAAAAAAGTCTATTGCTGGGACTTGGCAATTCTGTCTGCTCAGATACATTAACACATTTCGCTGGGTTCCGATCTTTTCGTATTCGTTGAAACAAGGTGTTGGATTTAACCAATTGGTTTTCCGGTATCACGTGGTTCCTCTGCACTATTGAGTAGGGGTATTATGTGTGACTCGTTTTCCATGAGACCAAAGTGACACTACCACCTTCAGAAGAGCTAACTGAAAGACCAAGTTCAGGCCTGGGGCGCAGACTTTCTGCTAACAGGGGAGAGAGGACTCAGAAAAGGAAGGTGCAAATGGTTGCACAGCTCACCAATATAATTATATTGTACATTGTAAAAACTGTTGAGTTGGTGTATGTTTTGTTATAAATATTATCAATAACCAAATAAGGAAATACCTACAGAAGTCCAGATTAGGGGACGGCACACTTACGTGACATTTAGTTACAGAAACCTTATGCTGTTCCTCACAGTGAAGACAGGAAACACAAACCCTCCTGCTTTGAGCAGTAGGACCAGGAAAAACTGATTGTGGTAATGACTGAACAACTCTTCATGCTCTGTTAGAACTATTAAATTGTATGATATGTGAATTATACAGCATGAGAACAGGGGGGGGGGGAGAAAGTTATTCATTGGAAATCTATTGTGTTCCCTTATATTAACTAAGGGGCAGAAAAACAGCAACTTTTTCTTTTCTATAAAAATTTCCAAAGTTTGACCTTGCAAGTCTGGCTAGACCAGAGGATGTACACTGGTACAGATAGGAACTGGAAACACAGGGAATCCAGGGCGGATGA